TAGTTTCTTCGGAGCTTACAAAAAGATTTATTTTATGTATATGAGTGTTTTTCCTATGTGTAAGTGTACCATACACATGCAGTCACCATGGAGGCCAGAAGAGGGTGTCAGATCCTCTGGAACTGGATTGTGACACAGCTGTGAGCTGTCGTGTGGGTGCTGGGAACTGAACCTATGCTCTTGACAGCTGAGCTATCTATCCAGCCCTCTCACAACTTTTCTTATGAGGGGAAGTTGCACCTTGTTGAAGGCCTTTTCTGCATGATTAAGATAATCATGTGGTTTCTGTAATTAAGTCTATTTATCGACTGAGCTACATTTACTGATTTGAAAATGTTGAATAAACCTTGCATCCATGCTATTGAAGTCAACTTGGTCATGTTTGTAATCTTCTTAATGTATTGTTCTATTTGCAAGAATTTTATCGAACTTTTAGCTGTTTTCATCAGGGAAGTTGGTCTTTAGTTTTCTTTCTTTGTTGTGTCCTTATCTAGTTTTGGTATCAGGCTGGGGCTGAAATTCCTTCCCATGAGTGAAACATCTACCACATCTCTTAAAGTCCTATTGACAAAGTGAGACAAGATTCTGTCAGAGTTCACTCTGGGGGAACCAATATGTTTATTGGGTTTCCTTATATAGAGCATCAGTGAGGGGTTACTTACAGGGATGTGGACATTCTTCCCCACAAGGGGCTGCACCAGAAAGTTTTTACCTATAATTATTGGGTCAGGACTGCCCAACATTTTGTGCCCATTAGGTTTGTTTTTAGTGAAATTGGAAACACCAGTGTATTGTGGAGTATTATTTTAAGGTGTAGTACATGTGGAACATTTGTTTAATGATGCAAAGATGTGTTACATTCTTTTATGTTGCATTTGTTTAACTCGATGAAGCTGATGGTCTAATAAAGAGCTAAACAGCCAAGAGCTGAGGCAGGAGAAAGGGTAGTCCAGGCTGGCAGGCAGAGAGAAATCTGGGAGGCAAGAGGGAGCAAAATAGAACAAGGAGAGGAGGACATCAGGGGCCAGCCACCCAGCTACACAGCAAGCCACAGAGAGGGAAGTAAAGAAAAGGTATACAGAAATAGAGAAAGATAAAAGCCCAGAGGTAAAGGGTAGATGGGGTAATTTAAGAAAAGCTGGCTAGCATCGAGCCAAGCTAAGGCCTGGCATTTAAAATTAAGAATAAGTTTAGTGTGATTTATTTGGGAGCTGAGTGTTGGGTCCCCCAAAAGAGTAAAGAAAGAAAAAGAGTAAAAAGAGAAAATACAACTACTATATTTTGGTGTTCCAGTGTGGGGCTAGAGAAAAAGAAAAACCAACACTACCAATGTTTGGTGCACACATGTTTACAAATTGCTGTATCTTCTTTATGAATTGCTCCTTTTATTAGCACGCAGCAGTGTTTTTATCTTTTCTAATGCTGAGCTGTAGTATTTTCATCAGATATGAGAATAACTACACTGGCTTGCTTTCTGGTTGGGGTTTGCTTCATAGATTGTTTTTTAACTCTTTGACTCCTCTGGATTTGGGGTGTTTGTGGACAGCCTACTTGTGGAGGCTCAATCCCGAGAACTACTCAATGGGGAAGAAACAAACCACAGTGACAGACACAACAGTACAGAAAGCAGATGCAAGAAAACAAGTGTCATCAATGATTGTAGGCATGAAAATGGCAGCTGCAATCTTAACACTTCTGCTAATGGGAGAAAAAATTTCCAACACAAGGCTGTTCTATTGTCATACAATATTCATTTCACATAGAAAAATGTATAAAGGTTGAAGTGATTTTTAAGCCTAAAAAAGAAAGAAAGAAAGAAAGAAAGAAAATGGCAGCTGCTGGAGTGTGTGCTATGTAGTTAGAAACCATCCAGGGTAAGAATGGAAATATTGAGTGAACGAGGTAATGGAAGGACACAGAGACAGGGGAGAAGCAGCAGCAAGCTTGAACAGACAAAGGCAGAAAGAGAGTGGACAAAAGAGGGTAAGAGAGGGGAAAAGAATAGAGCAAGAGATTAGAAAGAAAAAAGTTAAACAAGAATTTCCCAATAGTACAATAGTTCAAAGCCCAAGTTCAAAGTCAGAAGGGGAATAAGAAATGGAAAGTAAGAAAGTAAGAGTAGTAAAAAAGTCAGTGGCTGAACTGATGACTCAGGGGTTAGGAGTACTGGCTGCTCTTGCTCAAGTCCTGGGTTTGGTTCTTAGTGCCCACATGGCAGCTCACAGCCACCTGTAATTCTAGTTTGAGGTAACTCAACTCTTTCTCTTCAGACTTCAGTGGACTTCTGCTCTCATATGGTGTACATACATTCAGAGACAAATGTGTACACATAACATTTTTAAAAAGGCAGGTGTGGTGGTGCATGACATTAATTACAGTACTTGGAAGGCAGAGCAGGCAAATCTCTGAGTTCAAGGTCAGCCTAGTCTACACAGTGAGTTCTAGTGCAGTCAGACTACACAGACTCTGGTGTGTGTGTGTGTGTGTGTGTGTGTGTGTGTGTGTGTGTGTGTTTCTTTCCCCAGAGACAGGATTTCACTGTGTAGCCCTGGCTGGCCTGGAACTCACTCTGTAGACCAGGCTGGCCTCAAAATCACAGAGATCTGCCTGCTTCTGCCTCCCAAGTGCTGGGATTAAAGGAGTGTGCCACCACTGCCTGGCTCCCTGTTTTCTCTGTTTTTTCCCCTCCCCTTGGGGTGTGTTTTTAAAGTAAAAGAGAACAAGAAGTCAAATAAGGTAAAGTAAAAATACTACTAGATGTAGAGACAGGAAAAAGCAGTAAGCACAGAGGGCAGAAATAAAAAGACAAGATGGAGGGAAAGAAAGAAGTGCCAAAGAAATAGAAAACAATGCAGAAATGAAATGAGATGAATGTATAAAGGATAGCAGCAAAAACAACAAGTTTTGAAAAAGTACACAATGGTCAAATCCCTTTAAACATAGAAACAAAAAGTAAGTTGAGGTGTTGGGGACTCTTCTTTCTGGGCCTTGAGAACTGGAGGCTGTGATGATAGGCTTGAAAGGTTGAGTTCTTGAACTTGAACTCTGGTCTTTCCTTTGGTTTATCCCACTGCACTGTTTGTCCTAGACAAGCCTGTTTTCATGGCTTTTTTGTATTCTGTGGGCTGGGCAGATTCCCTCCCTCCACCCCCATCCCCAACCAGCTCCATCACACTGCCTGGTGACAGCTTTAGTTGAAGGGTATCCTCCAGCAGTTGGGAGCATGGGAAGCAGCTAGGATTCTGAGATGGTGCAGGCTGAGCAATTCTCAGACTTTATGGCCTCCTGCAGGAGGGAATGTTGCTGTGGCTATCTTGCTTTCACCCGAAAATGAAGTTCTTGGGCTTTATAGTAGTGAGAGGCAGGCAGATAGGTGGCTCTAGCATTTGATCCACATGCTAGCCTCAGGCTCAGAGTTGACAAACGTCAGAGTAACTGTTGATGAGGCTTGCTTGTGGCCAGCGAGGCAGGAGCTGTCTTTCTCTTGTGCTTCCTAGCTTGAGTCACCCTTCTTGTGGCTTGCATGCTTCAGTCTGTCTGTTCCCCACAATTGTCTCTCAATACCCAGGAGCTGTGGCCAGCTAAATTGAGGCTTCTTAACTAGTAGCTAGTTCTGAACAGTGCTTTCTCTCTCAGGATGGTGCCCACTGCTGCCCTCTGAGCCACATGGCTTGATAAAATAGTTCTGTCTGCTGCTGACTGAAAGAGGCCTATATCGTCGAAACCTACAGCTGGTTGAGGCTCATGGTGGCTGTGAGCTTATCTTGAGGGAAAGGCTGCTCTGACTTCATCTCATTTACCTTTTGGAAGTGGCTTCTGAGGTCCACCGAGGCTAAATTTGGCTTCTTTCTCTACATGGTAGTATAGCTTCGCTTCTGTCTTGTTCGGTATCCTTTGAATTCTTCGTAAATTCCTGAAGCTTTTCCTTGAGTTCTTGTTGAGATAAGCTCTATTTTTTCTTATTCTGAATTTTTTTTTTTTTTTTTTTTTTTTTTTTGCTGGCACCCACAGTGGCCTCTGGTCTGTCATCTGGCCCTGAATTCTCGGCTCCTCACATGTCTGTAGGTCACGGGGCATAGAAAGGACTAGAAGCCTGTTTGGGCTATAGTGCTCAAGGCCTGTTCCCACTGGCCTATATCTGCCAACCAGGTCCTTCACCCCAAAGTTTCCACAACCTCCCCATATAGTACCACCAGATGGAGATACATAAACCCCTAGAGCATTAACAGACCATAACAGGGTATGTACAGTATGACCAGTGGCCCATTATATGCACGTGTGAAATGTTACAATGGAACCCAGCACACCACAGTGCAATTAAACATGTGCTTAAAAAAAAAAATAGCAGCAAAAAAACTGGAAACGGGTGGTATTTGGGAATAGATAAAGGCTTCACAGGTGGCACATTTTGTTATGTGAATTATACCTCTGCAAATGTTAAAAATCATGGCCTCTCTCCTGTATGCAAGTCTAAGGCTCCTGAGAAGTGGCATTTGGTCTACCTAAAGCTGCTGTGACTTTAGGCCTGTATATTTGGTGTAAGTGGATTAGATATGAACATTACAAGGAAACAATAGTAGTCACTAACTAGATGGACCTGGTTGGCATGGCTGTGGATCATCAGTGTGTATTGTTAATCTCTGGGTTACTGTACATCACATACGTCTTTCCATGCACTCTGCCATTGAGAGGCAGCCCTTTCCCAGCACAGTAAAGGGCTGCCTTTGGGTCAGACTTCTCTGCTGGGATAGATTCCATAGATTCAAACCCAGGTCTCTTAAATCTCTGTGCACAGCAATGTGGCATGAGGAGACCTTTAGTAAACTGGTCTCTGTGCATGGCAGGCTGCTAGCTTGTGGGTGAGATGGGAATAGGAATGTACTTTGTTCTGTTATGTCAGAGATCGTAATTGGAAACTGTTGTATGCCTTTGGGGCTCTTTAAAACACATGAAAGTTAGGAGACCTGATTGATCAGTGATTATCTCTTCTTTAATTTCAGTTGATTATTTACCTTGGAACCAACCAAAACGAGAGCTTCTTCGTCCGCCACACAACTTCCGGCCAGAATCTACCAGGTTTGAAAACAGAACCACACATCAAGATGAGTATACTATGAAAGGCCTTGTGACTACTGTGAGCTGTAAGCCTGTGATCAAACCAAAGCTCTGTAACATCCCCTTGGAGGACCTGACTAACTACAAGATGAACTACGTGCCCCACCCTGTGGAGAAGCGCTTTGTTAGAGAGCCTGAGAAATTTAAACCCTGTGAAATCCCCTTTGAGAACCTGACCACCCACAAAGAGTCCTACCGAGGTCTCCTAGGGGAGCCTGCCAAGATCTCAAAACCTCCAGCCAGGTACCCTTCTCAAGAAATACCTTTCTCAAACACCACTGAGTGTCAAGAGAAATACCAAGCTTGGGCAACACCCCAGATAGTCCCTAAGACTCCTGTTACATATGTCCCTCCTGAGGAGAAGATGGATCTTCTGACAACTATGCAGAGCCATTACAGATACCGTAAGGGGACCCCTGCTCAATCTTGCCGACCTGTGCTTTCCATTAAGAAGAGCAGCCGCTTTGACAGTTCCACCACCACCAAGGATGACTACAAGCAGTGGGAAGCTGTGAACACAAAGCCAGTCAAACCTGTTCCTCATCTGACCTTGCCTGTTGAACCTTTGGACTACCAGACTACCACTAAGATCTGCTATGTGCCCCACCCGCCTGTCACTACTAAAAATTACAAGCCCCCCTGGGCTGGCCCTCGAAGAAACATCCCTGTGGAGGGTCAGACTACTTACTCCATTTACTTTACTCCCAAGGAAATGGGCAGGTGCCCAGCATCATACATAGAGCCCCCTGGCTACATCTTTGAGGAAGTGGATGCTATGGGACACAAGATATATAGGGCAGTTTCTCAGACAGGTTCTGGGCAGAACAGCTGTCTCTCTCTATATGATGCAGAGAAGTCTGGCCAGAAGGAACTGGAAGTGTCAGCCTGACTTTGAAAAATTATTAAAAAATTGCACAGTACCTTTAAAAGCAGACACCTAAAAATTACTCACTGAAGAAGAATTTCCCAAAACAACAACAAAAATTAAAGCACCTACCTCAGAATGAAAAATGTTATTACCAACTCCAGGGTATCTGAATAACATGAGAACCACTTGAATAAAGGAAAATGAACTGTACACATTGGCTGACTGGCCCCCTTTAGCTCTCCTTCTACAGTTAATCTCTAACCCCTTCAGGTCCCTTTTGTTTATGGAATCAAAGAGGATATCAGTGACATTTCTGTGATCTTGATGTAATGTAATTATTGTATGAGTTGATTCGAACCTTTGCCAAGTTTGGAGTGCCAAAGAATAAACATTACTTTGGGATATTGAATTTGTAGGTTGGTTTGTTGACACTCACGTACTTTCCATGCAGAGAGCAGTCTACACAAAACCTTTGGAGAGATTTCTTTTTTTTTTTTCCTCTTAATATTTTTATTTGAATTAGAAACAAGATGGTTTTACATGACAATCCCAGTTCTCTTTTCCCTCCTGTCCTCCCCTACCCCCCCAACTAAAATCCTACCTATCACATATCCTTTCTGCTCCCCCTGGA